GATCAGTTTCAGCAGCGGCTGAATCTGGACGCCAGTTCCGACTTACATACAGATTCAACTTAAGAACAAACCTACAGTCCCTATCTTGTACGTAACCCGGGGACTGCCTGTAATTTCATGTTGCAGAACTGAACTACACTAGAATCCAGATGTCTATGTCATTTACTTCCCTCTTTCCATCTATGGTTATTTCGAATTTATATCAGTTTCAGCAGCGGCTGAATCTGGACGCCAGTTCCGACTTACATACAGATTCAACTTAAGAACAAACCTACAGTCCCTATCTTGTACGTAACCCGGGGACTGCCTGTAATTTCATGTTGCAGAACTGAACTACACTAGAATCCAGATGTCTATGTCATTTACTTCCCTCTTTCCATCTATGGTTATTTCGAATTTATACTGGGTTCATGCAAACTTGTATTTTGATGAATCCACTTTACAAAGGTCACCCTCCTTATAAGCTTAGATTTTGTAGGTCAAGTATTATCTTATAACCAAGATGTTCCTAACAAATTCCAGTGTACCAAAACTAAAATTAAAACAGATGAAAGACAGCAAAATAATATTCCACTAAAGATTCAAAAACAACTTATATAAATACAATATTTAAGTCACAAATGTTTCTAGGAAAATTTTGCAAAGGACAGTTTACCTTGACGTCTAATCTCCAATGGTGAAAGATTCTGAGCTTCTTTTAATTCTGACAATGCTTTCAATTCTATGGGTAACCCATGACAATCCCAGCCTGGCACATAGTGCACTTTATAACCTCTCATCATATAGAACCGATTAGTGATGTCTTTCAATATCTGGAAAAATGTTAGGTCAAATGTTATTTTTGATATAACTGTTACTACCATCCTCATATTCCCATACATATTAGCATGACTCAGCTGTATGTTACTTCGTATCATACTGATTTTGATAAACTCTGAAAAACCTCAACCACAATCAACTATGTTAAAGATTAAGTTTCAGTATTCACATTTATGTTTCTTACTGTACTTTGACAGAACATCATAAGAACCTCTTGATCAATAGCAACCAGATTTTGTACAACTGAAAGCCACAGTTTGCATTATGCAGGCGCCTGAGGGCTCCACCTACGTATAACAAAGTGGAATTATTTTATTATGGGAATATACAGGCAGTCCCCGAGTTACGCGGATCCGACTTATGTCGGATCCGCACTTACGAACGGGGCTCTCTTGCCTCGGAGCTCGCAGGCAGCGGGACCGCCCAGAGCGCAGCGGTCCCGCCACCTCGAACTCTGGGGCGAGAAAAGCTGCTCTGGGTGCCCCTGGTCTGCTGGGGACCGTCTCCAGCAGACCAGGGACACCTGGAGCAAAGCCGGGAGGCGGAGGGGTCCCGCGCCTCCCCGGCTTTGCCAGAGCAAAGCCTCAGAGGTGCGGCTCGGAGCTCGCAGGCAGCGGGACCGCCCAGAGCGCAGCGGTCCCGCCACCTCGAACTCTGGGGCGAGAAAAGCTGCTCTGGGTGCCCCTGGTCTGCTGGGGACCGTCTCCAGCAGACCAGGGACACCTGGAGCAAAGCCGGGAGGCGGAGGGGTCCCGCGCCTCCCCGGCTTTGCCAGAGCAAAGCCTCAGAGGTGCGGCACCCTG